TCCAGCTTACATATTATATAAATATATATATGTCATCATTGGTATGCCATATTGGTATTCCAACGATGACATTCATACTGCAAATTAGCAACAACACATTGAATAATTAATTCAGTTAATATTGTTATTCTATGGGAAAATGTATTATTTAGTGTTTCCTGTAATTTAACCTTAAATATCTCCATACATATAATTCAGTTACAGATTATATATAAATACTTACCCACACAAAGGATAAAGGCCTTGAACAAAATCAGCTGCATTGATTTTGTAACAATAACAAAGAATCAGTCTTGCGTCTGCTGTGCTGCTGTCCAGGTGTAGCCATTCATTGGGGTTCAAAATAAACAGTAAATTCTACTATAAATGTAATAATCAATGTGGACACATTACTTTAAAGAGACTAAAGAAACAGAAAACCACAGGTCAGTAATATTGTTATCCTTCTTCTGTAACAATACATACATCCCTGAAAGTGTGCTGGATGATAGAAAGACCAACTTTGAAACACAAGAGATGGGGATGCCTGAACCTTGGGGAAGGTTGGGGATAGTAACTGAATTTATTATCAGCAAAATGCACCTAGGTGTATTCGGCCCATTTATATAGGGAAAGCTGAGCCTTTGCTGTTCATTTTCACATTTGCTGGCCTGAGATCTTACTCCCTATCGTTTGCTGGCACACTGCTGCTGATGGATAGTCCATTGTGCATGTGTGTGTGTGTGTGTGCATGTGTGTGTGTGTGTGTGTGTGATTATCCCCAAAGACTATCATTGTGTATATGAAACATGCATTATTTGTATATACAACTAAATAACTAGTGATACAACATGTGTATAGTTACACTCAGAGCACTTGGTGAAAGTAAAGCAAAGATGGTGGTCTCGGTTGACTATTAAAAACATCACCTGACAGGACTGATTTGTTTCTACGTTCAACCAAAGCCACAAACTGTCAATAGAGTGAACCTCAAGACTTTTAGTTTCTTAAATTTCACCACAATTGAGAAACAGTATCTCCATTTTCCAGTGTCATATAAAAACATGTCATTTTTTGACTCAAATAATATTTGCGTGTGTATGTGTGTGTGTGCTCACTTATTAATGCAACATGTGCATGTTTCTTACATGTGATTATGCTCCTGTATCTACATGCCTGCTTTTATGTGCACAGTCAACACACAGAGGTTTGGGGTGATGGTCTCTCTTAACAGCCGCTCAAATCTTCTGTGTGAGGCTATTTTCCACTCCGATGGATTCATGGTGACAACCGTTGCTTCTTGGAACCAGGGGAATGTTGAAGAATAACAAACCACATTTTTTATTCTATTTTAACCAAATAAATATCATTATTTCCTGAAACCACTGAAACATCTGTGGCAAAATGGTGGATACACGAGGAGGTTTCAGAAAAATGATCTGAATGACAGCGTGGCAGAGCACTAACAGTATCAACACAGACTGACATCATTTCAACCATTCTAGTTTCCAGAGCAGAAAACATCTCTGAGGCTGCTGAAGTTGTTATGGTTGTGCCCACATGTATTTGCCAAAGGGGATGTCCTGCTGAGTGTCCATATGTACATATGACAGTCAAAACACGCTCAGATTCCAAAGACAATCCGCTAACATATGCAAAGCACTTATTAGCCAGGAAACCTCAAGGAGGATGTTGCTTCTCGAGTATTTCTATATGTGAGATAGTTTGCAAATTACGCCAACAACAATAACGCAGGAATATGTTTGACGCAACGTGTTTTGCTGATTTTAAAGGAACCGTGGTCTTTTGCTGAGCACAGGCTACATTCTTTTTGCAGAATAACACGCGCACGTAAAACACATTGCAGGAAATTCAGTTCAGCGTACAGAGTATTTACAGAGCAGCAGTTGATTTGGAGTCCGTATAAGACAAGAGGTGAAAATACTGGAGAGGAATCTACAGGCCGCAGCGTCTGTATTATTGCAGAGTGTCAGTCGGTGCCAAGTTTGAAATGAAAACACCAAAAGACTTTGACAAAATCAAGAATCAAAAGGGCTTGTGGGTTATCTTTTGAATGAGAGTTTGACAAGAGGATATTACCTTGCCACAGAGACTGGAACACACAAGTTACAAATACAGAACAGATTTTCTTGTCTGTTTTTATTGGCTGGTTTTATTTTAGATGGAGGTGCAGATCCAGAGCAAACTGCAAGTCAAAAATGAATAAAATCATATACATACATAAAAAACAAGAGAGATGACATAGCCTCACAGCACGCACAAAACCTCAGAAGGCAGTTGTAAGATTTCCCTTATTGATAAAAAACAGCCAATAAGTATTTTCCAATGAGAGCGGTTGACAGTTGATCATCCAAAGTAACAGTGACCATTTTTTGAGAGAAAGTCGCTGTTATGTTTGTGAAATATAATTGTATGAGTGCTGTGAACCTCAAAAACAAAACTCCATCCACCTCTGCTCAGACAGCTCCCCCAAAGTGAAGCCAAATTATCTTGATTGCCCCCTGGTGGCTGGCTGCAGTAATTAATAAGTAATTAAAGGCTCAGATTTAGGAGAAAAGAATCTATTGGCACAAATTTAATATAAAATAACCCTAGTGATGTTTTCACTAGTGTGTTTCATCAACATTTTATGAATTGTTGTTTTCTATATCTGAGAATGGGCCCTTTGTATTTAAATACTTTATATTTACATCGAGGGGGTCCACTCTACGGAGGCCGCCATGTTTTTTTACATTAGTCCAGACTGGTATACACTTAACACCTTTTGAGTTTTTATGACAACTGAAGGCTTCTACAGGTTTTCTGTCATGTTTGGAAGGGGAGGGTGAGGTGAGGGGTTTTCAGCTGCCACATGCAATTTCACCACTAGATGTCACTAACCTTACACACTGTACCTTTAATACATCTACATGTTAGTAGATAGGACATCCACCAAACTAAAAGGTCAAAGTAGACAACATTGATAAAAACAGATGCATTGGATAATTTTATGTAGTTGTTATCACTTTGAGTATATGTCCAATAGCGCATCCTATAAGTTTAGATTTAAAAAGTTCTTAATTAATTATTAATCAGTTATTAGTGATGATGATGATGGGTTGAGCTTGGGTTTAGGCAGGAACTCGCTATCTTGCCTCAATCCCAGACCACTACTGTGCTCTGGCTACAAATGCGCACGAGAACCCCCATCCACCCGTTGAAGCCTTTGTTTCTTGGGGATGGAAGGATGCATTTGTCAGCAACAAACTGCAAACTAAGTATGATATAGCTTCAAATGTTCAACACCCCAAGCAGCAGTGAAGTAAAATATGTCATCATGAAGTCAGCCTGGTAGCTTTTGTCAAGCTTTTAAACATATCATATTATCTATTAAGTCTATATCAAGTCTTAAGTTAAGTCTTGGCATCCATACTTGCACCTGGCATTGAAACTACTTGTTACATTTATCTTCATCATCATCAGTCTTCGTTCGTCATCATTTTCACCAGTGACTTCACCAGCTCCATTGCCTCCCCTGCCATCATCTCCCTTTTCACAGCCATCTTTGTTTTTCCGCGTTTCCGCCTGCCTGTCACCACGCCAGCATCAGGTCTAACCTCATGACAACCAGGTGAGAGACTAAGATGACTCATTGAACATGTTTTGCTTTCACCTGCACATTTGGCGTCTTAAACTGAGAGTGCTGAAAAATGAAACTGAAGAAAATGGTAAAACATTTGTGAGTAGACAAATGTTGTTTTTTTTCAGCCAGTGTGTTCATTCATTTCCTTTCACCGGTGCATATTGATGTGTCATCAGTTCATCAGTGTGATGATGAGCTGTGGATGTGGTGGCTCCGGTGCGTCCAGCAGACTGGTGGTTTGTCAGAATGGGAACGCGGTGCAGTAAAAAGTGCAGGTTTGGCTGAAGAATGAGGACAAAGTGTATGTGGAATGAATGAAATCTCCCCCCTGCTGCCACTTTCTGACTTCAGACAAACATTTTACACGGTTTCACTCCGAGGGCCAAACAGGCTGCATCAGGCTCAGTGGTTATTTATTGCGCTCCGTGTCCCTATGAGATGTATTTATGTGAACTCTGTGCATCATGTTACTAATGGAGATGATTGTTCAGCTGGCCTGGTTTGGCCAAACGACAGGTTCACCGCAGTATTCCAGTCGCCCCATTAGCTTGTTTTCCTCCACAGGACAAACCCATTCATTTTTTTTTTCATTCATTCATATTTTCCACTGTTTTTACTTTCATCATTGCTGCCCGGACCTCCAGCGGCCTTTGTGTGCTTTGGGTTAAAGTTGGAATGTGTCAGTAACACTACACCTAACCCTGCGAGCTCCTTCAGACAGGAAGCAGTGGTGGACGGCCAGGTTCTAGGTTCTGTCGAGCAGTGATGTCATTCTGAATCAACGGTGTGATTTATGGACTGCGGACAGTCGACTGTATCTGACGGCTGATGTGCATCAACACTGAGAGAGTCTGCCTTCCTTCAGGCGCTTTGGCAGCGACCGTTTCCCACACTGCACTGCATTTGCTAGTTGCTGACGGGCTGGTTGACTTGTGTGAGGGATGCGTGGACTGGGAGAGGTCGGCTTTGTACAAAGCATTCTGATGCAAAGAAAAAAACATCAGAGGAGCTGCTGGAGAAATGCAGGTGCTCACTGTAGTTTTGTTGCAGAGAAGAACAGTCTACACGCAGCAGCCACCTCGTCAGACCAGGTCACAGGTGGTTCTAGTTTTTAAATCAGGATTTAAATCTTGATCCCGTTATTTCAGCTATATTGGAATGTATATATTGCCTGTGAGCAGTTTGCAGAACACTCCTGTGTACATAGTGTATAAATCTGATTTCAATACATGTTCATGCAATAAGGTGAAAAGGTTGTTTTTCTTATTCTGGTTTCTGTTGCACTGGTTTTGAATGATTATTGCTTTTCTCTTCACCTTATTTGTGGAAGTCATAAAAGCAAGCCCACATTAATCCTGTGTACTTCTTGTTCCAACAGGAAGGCCAGCCTCATCCTCTCCCAGCTAGAAGAGCTTTCCCACTGGTGTAAGGGTCTTCTCCAGGAGCCAAAGATCGGCCTCCGCAGGATGTCTCTCAAATTCCTGTCCTGCCGCTACACCGACACCAAGGCTTTCGGGCTGAACTGGTCGGACATGGGCCACGACGTTCACAAGGCCTGCGACGAGCAGACGCTCACTGTCATGTATAATGACTACGGTGAGCCAAAGGAGCTGTAAAGGTATTGTGAGGGTTCTGTTAGGATGTGCACAGGAATCCAGGAGATCTGTCAAACCCAACAAAGAAACAAATAAAATGCAGGTTTCACTCATGTTTCTATTAGATACATGTTTCATAAAAATCATTATTTGACTACCTACTCCTGCCGACGCTTCACAATTAAAGCCTTTGTTTCAATTTCCTCTTCGTTTCTTATTGGTCTTTCCTGCTGTTTAACACCGCTTGCATTAAAATGACACATACGCTCTTTGCCATGCATCAAAATTGTGTGGACTTGAGAACCACTGGGAGTCTGAGAGAGAAGTGAAGCAATTAAAAAGCGTTATCTGTGAAGCCTAGTAAAAGCCTAGACTCTGTATAGATATGAGTATTATTCAATCAATAGAGAATTTATTCACCCTGAAGGACATTTAGGCATTCAGTAGCTTAAAATTATCATTAGTGCAATACTTTACATAACATCAAAATAGCATTTAGCGTGCAACTTTGCAAAGGGCAAATGGAAACCTCAGATCGAATTGAAATTCAGTGTTGCTGCAGGAGCAGTTGGTTTCAAGACTTTGATCAATAAAACTTGAAGCTATTCTTTGCAGCACAACTCCAGCCCTCAGACAACTTTACATTTTTCCTGTGTCTACAATTTGACAGTGATGTTGCATGAAAAATACACAATACTCAAAATAGAAAGTAATTCACATATTTGAAAAAAATCATTTTACCTTCTGTTTTATTTGCCCTTAAATGCACATATCTCAGTGGAACCTGAGATGACATGCATTCTGCTTCACTTTGTTTCTTTGCTGGATGAAACATTCTCTGTCCTGATCCTTGATACTGAGGGAGAACACGTTTTGAAGCTTTTCTTTTTTACCATTTGTTGAGAAAACGTGACATTTACATTGTGTAGATTAGATTTAATCATACTTTTGTTGGCTTGTTCGTCGTCAGGTAAAATAAGGTTGAGACATAAAGGGTTACACATTAGCACATGTGTGCCTGTATAACTCTGTCACATCATTAGATATACTGTAAAATGAAAAGGAAACTTTTGATATCAAACTGATTGATAGTGATGGTGACTTCCTGATGTGGGGCCCATCCACCTGTACAGCCTGGATAGAGTTAGCTGCTTCTTGGACCTGTCTCATGATCTAAAATCAGCTCTTTTGTTTCTTTGATCATTTATATGAGTGATGGACACAGGGGAGACGGAATGCTGTAAAAGATTTTACAGTTATAACTCATCAAAACTGCGTCTTCACCTGTACATTCCAACCACTATTAAGTATCTTAGTGATTCACAGCTTCTGGTGCTCGTTGTATGCGTTTATTGTGAATACTGCAACAGGCGGAGCCAGCCAACACGTGGGCTAAAAACCTATTTCAGATTGATGCTTGAAGCCGTTGTTTTTATTCTGCTGTGCGCTGCTTTGTTGTGTGGGGTCACTTGGACATGAAGACGTTTAGTTTTCCACCATCACTTCCCTTGAACTGTGAATTACAAACCGGGTTTTGTGGTTTTTGTCACAAACGCTAACAGAGAAAGAAACTGTATATAAGGAATTGTAATGTTGAGACAGCAAGATCAAAACCAGTATGAACAAAACCAGTATTTTACAAGGTTACCATGACAATGGTGAGGTAGCATCTTAGCAGTCTAGGCTGAAGATGGTGAAATAAAGAAAAAGCTATGTAGACAACAGAGGAGGGGAGTAACTTTATTAGCACAGACATTCAAAATAACCCTTCGCTTTATTGTTATTCTACACTTTTATTGATATACCCTGCTGAATGTAGTATTGATTTGCATTTGTAAAGGAAGCTGTTATGAGTTCTACTAAACAACAGTACAGTTCATAATCACAATACTTTTTAATTCTTGAATAACAATTTCATTTATTTGCCGGTATTTTGGTTTTTAATTTGACAGATTTCACATCATAACTAATCCAACCAATGAACTATTAAAAGTCATAATTCTGTATTGAACCTGCAAATTAAGTGTCTTAATGTTTTCATCTGCTTCTCTATGTTTAAACTTCATGCATTTACATTAGTTAGAAAGATCTTTTTGACATCTCCACTACTATTGTGTTTATTGTGAGTATATTAGTATATTTTATTTGGTTTAACTCCATCTGTTATGTTACTCTCGGTTGTTTTATTGCTGTGCTGTGGCCATGTTGGAGATTAATGTCAAAGAAATGCAAACACTCAATAGCTGTTGATTTTTTTTAACAAACCTCATATGTGAATACTAAAATAAAGGCTTGTAGATTTTTGTATAGGCAGTAAAGTATTTCATAAAAGCGTTGCATTCTAGCACAGTACTGTGTTTTGAAGCAGGTGTTTTATATACACCTGTTGTATATACATGTACAACAGGTGGTGTTTTACAACAGTTACTTTATGTGTGCTTTAGTATTGTACTGTAATATCTGCTGTGTAGCTTAGTCTTTGTAATCAGATCAATCCACTGATTCCAGTTATAAAGTGAAGAGCAGGAGGTTTTTACTTTCTCTCGTCTGTGATCTAAAGATGCTCGACACTGGATTTGTTAGTTCTAAACTGTTATTGGTTGATGAAAACACGTGACGAACATGATGACATTTTATCTAACAAACTAGTTAAATGATCAATTAGCGTTCAACTGAACTTGAAGTGATTACATGGAGACCTCCTGACCTTTAAAAGAAATGGAAAGCAACCCTCTACTATCTGCATGATATTATTCTGTCTATACTGAATGTGGCATCATGACCTTAACTTTTTCACTTTGATCTTTGCTACTTCAAAGAACAATAAAGAATATATTATGGAATGTGGCTGTTTGTGATTCTTCTAAACCTCGCGGAAACTTTTTTCTCTTGTCATGTTTCCAGAGGAATCATTTTAGTTCACGTGACCCTAAAATATGAACATCCTCATAGCACTGTTACTGAACTCACTGAAGCTTATCTTAAGATGATAGATTTTAATTCAATTTGTCCTCGCCCTCTACATGGGCCATGCTGTGAACTCACCCTTTAAAACTCACCTGGACAAAGATCCTGAAGTGACGTGTGTGCGGCTGCAATTTCTGAAGTTGGTGGTTTGATCCCAGGGACCTCCATCCTGCATTCTGAGTGTCCTTGGGCAAGATACTGAACCCCAATTTGCCCCTGACGGCTGTATGAATGATGTGTAATAGAAAAATAGTAGCGTATAGAGGAGTGCTGTATGGAAGTGTGGGTGAAGGGGTGAATGCACTGGTCCTGTAAAACGCTTTGAGTAGTTAAGACTGGAAAAGAAGCTGTATAAATACCCTTCATATACAAAAATTGGCTTTGCATAATCCTACTAACAGACAGATCATAAGTTGTGAGCCTAGCACATGTACTTCATGTATTATTTGCTCTTTTGCCATGAGATTTTTTTACTTGATCCATGTTTGGATATTACACAGTATTTAACCACACAGAGACCAGTTGAGTCAGTGCTTTGGAAAAGAAGACCAAGCAGAAATAAGTCTAATAAAATCTAATATGTTGTTACATGTGATGAAGCATTATGTTCACAGTGACAAGATCAGCGACAGCTCAGAGTAATGTTTCACTGTAAGCTGAAGAAGTGTATTACCTCTAAAGCCAGTGTACACACACAGATAACGTCCTCTGTCAATGATCATAAACCACCAAGAAACACATTGTACGGATCGGTATAAAGTTGCTATTTATTTTATATCGAGTATAAAGAACAGTAAAATATCACAAATAACATGATTATACAGATACAATATTTGGACAGGGTACTTCAACATTTTTTTCTGAGAAAGGTGATGTCTGTCACTTGAACTTCACAACTGCAACTGAAGACAAAAAATATGACAGGGTTTTTCTCAAAAGTATGATAATAGTGTTCACACTCTGCGGCTTATGTTTGACCCTGCTCATTATATTTATTTATTTCCAAATCCTACATCGACTTCAGGGATTGATTACACAACTCATCCAACAAGATTTTTTTTTGTTAAAGTACGATTAAAAAAAAGCAAAAAAAAAAGCATGACACTTGGCAAGCCCTGTGCACATGCTGTGCGGTACAAATACATGTTTGTGTTACTGGGTTTGTGATATAAATAGAGTGTTGACTTCTGTTACTAATGTGTGATCTAGTAAATATGTTAGGTGATCCAAATATATTAGTCTGTACAGAAATGCATCCTCTTACAGCTACATGTCAGGGGGAGCTGGTTTGTAGAGGGATCTGATGCACGATGATGAAGATTATATGTATTGTCAGTATCCAGGAGGTCTGTCATGAATTTTTCTGTGTAGTGAAACCGAGCTTAGCCATGTTTTTTTCTTTGCCCATTTACCGTTGTTCAGTCTGTATTTTGGATTCAGATGTCTTCTGTGATGCAGTGTTAGGGTCTCATGGAGAAAAAAATATTCAGACAATAATGTTGTAATATTATGAGCATAACATTGTTATATTTTAAGAAGAAAGATGTAATTTAATGAGAAAAAAAATTATATAAAGAAAAAACATTCTTTGGTAAATTAGCAGCAGATTAAGTATTTTGTTAAATGTTCAACTTATACTGAAGTATAACTTAAGATTCTCAACATTCCTTGTTTTAATGCAGACGATAGGCTGATCTTCTTATATTCCCATTCTAAAATAACACATAGGCTAAAATGACTTTATTCTCGGAATATTGCGACTTTTTTCTCATAATATTACGACTTTATTCACAAGATCTGAGACAAATTGTTTCCCTTTAAGTGGCCCTTATACTTGGTCGCACTCTCCCAAGTGGATGCTACAGTAAAAACATTTAATAGCAGTAGCTCCTTACTCTAATGGCCGTGCATGTACTGAACACTTATCAGGCACATCCAGTTCTTTTGCTTTCCTTGTCCCAAGGCTAATCAAGTTCAGAAAAAGAGTTGAATCCATTTACAACTGTGATTTGATCCAATTATCATGACTTGATTCGTACAGAAGTGGATAAACTGCCTCTTAACCCTATTTGAACTGGACCTCAGTGTTTTTTTAGTTGGGCTCCCGTTTTTCAAAACATCATTTTCTGCCCTCACATAAATCCAGCAGTCAGGATAACCCTTAACTTCTTAATGGGAAAGGAAAACAATCCACGTGTAGATGTGTAGATGTTTGGCTGCACTGAACACGAAACTTTAAACCAACATGACTCATATGTGATGCTTTTTATCACGTAAAATGAAAATGGCCTTTCACTGCATAAAGTCTAACTTCAATCACATTCTTCAAATTATGAAAAGCTAAAAAATGAATAGTTTGTCTATTTGTTGTGGTGCAAAGTCTGTGGTTTGACTGTGTTTGACACAAGTTCAGCTTCTTTTATCCCTTCATCTCACTGCATTCCTCCTCCAGCTCCACCTCCTCCTCCTCCCGACTTCTTGGCTTTGCTCTTATTCTCCTCGGCGTCCGGATCACGGCAAGTGCACTCATCCTGATTGCAGTCCGCCCCAAACTGAATGACCTATGAGTAAACAAGCACAACATTTAGAGCTCGGCTTCCCAGAGTCGCTACAGATCTTTCAATCTGCTGCTGGATTCAAACGCGATGTGACTTTTCAGGCCTGTCTAGCGCAGATGTCACTTCTAATGTTTGACTAAACTGACAAAACCAACATTGCATTTGGTTGGTTTCCCTGTTTGAGATAAACTAAGATCAGTCTGATAAAATGCTGCTTCTATTTCCCGTGGAATTAAAGAGGAGCAGAAAAGAACAGGAGTATGAAAAGCAGCACGGCAAAAGGAAATATTACATCAGGCCTTTCAACACAAGTAGAGTCACTAAAAAATGCACGAGTTGAGGAGGCTTCCCAAGCGTGTTGTTACATTTCAACTGTACCAAAGAGTACAACCTTGAATGGCAAAAACAGACAATAAAAACTAAATTTGCTTGAACTGGCCGAGCAGCTAGAGAACAGTTTTGTGCTGAAAGCTAAGTACCGCTTAGTAACCTGAGAGTGGTCTTAGATTTGTTGTGTTTCCTCCCAGTTTCAAAGAGAACTCTTACAGCCCCCTGGAGGCTGATAAAGTGCACGATGTCAAATGGTTCAACGTGGCCTCTGAATGGCGAGAAACCTTGAGGGTCTGAGGGAGAAGGAGGGAGGAACACACCGCCGTGGAGGTGAACGGATGAACACATGTTAAGAATCAACAACAAGAGGCTTCCAGCTCTTGTCTAGGAAGCGAGCCATCACCACAGGTTGCAAAATAAACTCTGGTGCCCCGCGAAGCAGTCTGTTGCAAGAAATGTAAACATTTGCTCCTGGAGAGAAGGAGTGAGAGGTAGATTGAGAGAAAGGAAGGGAGAGGGAGAGAGCCGGGTGGGAGGCAGAAAAAGAAAATAAGGATGATGGCAAGGGAGGTGAGCGTGAGAGTGGGAGGTAGCAGCTTGTCGGCCTTCGCTGCTGGTTGCACGCGCTTTTCTTTAAGGGCAGGGTGAGGGTTTCACTGAGGTCTCTCGACGGGCCGAGCTTCACCTATACTTCTTCCAGTCCCTTTTAAGATAAACTGAGCTTCCATTAAATGTTTCCTCAGTCACATAACACCCCGAGCAGCACTCCACCTCCGATGCCATCTGACAACCTTTGGAAGGAGCTAAACGGCTTGTTTTTGCTTTAGCCACGGAAACAAAAATCTTTTGGCTGTTGCTGAGTGTTTGGATCAGTTGCCTCCATGTTGTTTACTGAAACTTATTCATGAACAGAAATCATGTGGGAGAAAAAATTCAAAGTAATGAATTCAACCTTGCAAACAATCAAAACATAAGAAAAATCACGTTCTTTTTGTCTTCCTTCTGTTCACTCTTGCTGCTTTTAATGTTTTGGCCTTTTGTTGGAATAAAACAGACCCAAGTTCACAAATCAGAGGGAGGTTGTGTGTCTGTTCATCTTTTCCTCTGGAACTTTGCCCTGTTGACCAATGACTGAATTCACACCTGAATCATCTCTTGTGTATCCCTCCCTCCTGTCACTGCTGCTAAAACAAATGCTGTGTGGTCCTGTCCTCATCCAGACCCAAACAGATATGAACTTTCAGATAATCTGATGTAGTTCAGATTCAAGTGGTTTACATTGCCAGGAAAAATCTCTGTAGTGGTCTTGATTCTTGCAGAATAATGTAAAAAGTGTGTGTTTATAGTGGTAAGTATTGAAACTGTAGCAAATTGACATTTAATGTTCAAACTCAACTTTTTCTTATGTAGCGTCAGAAATTGTGTTAAGTAGCTTATGGTGTGGTAAAGACCTGTAATTTCCTACACCTGCATACATCATACCACATAGAAACAGAGGGTACTGTAAACAACCCCACCATCCACCCCCTCATTACCGCCCTCCGCTCCATCACTCAGCTGGAGCCCACGGTGGCACTCAGGATGCAGACTCTCGCGGCCATTTAGTTCACTTCCTAAGAACGACCCCTGCACGCCCAGCTGCTGTTTTACAGTGGCCGAGTAAACCGCAGACCTTCAAACACCTCGCCGCTCCCACCCTTATACCCCCTACCTACCCGTTCCCCTGTAAAAGAGCAGTTAGTGGCAATCTGGCAGCTCATTTATTATGACGGCAGCCACACACTCACTGAACTCCTGCGTTTAGGAAGGAGCTGCCAGTGAGTCATGGCGTGCCACGGACATGAAGGAGACAGCCGAGGCTCGGCCAACTGTAGGCCATAGGAGTTAATAGGCAGGGCCCCCTGAATAACTGTCATGACTATGTGGCTGTACAGTAGCCAA